CAATCATTAAAATATATTTACATGACATAAATATTGACAATAGCTTTACCATTTATTTTCATTTTGCATTTTCTCTTGTTCACTAATTGTTATCTAACAAAATATTGCTTTTTCTCATTGCTTCCTCCTGCTGAATTTTCCACTTTTCATTCTATGTTTCTCTCTAATTTCAGTTTTCCTTCTTCTTCTTTTTTTTTCTTTTTTTTTTCTTTTTTTTTTCTTCTAGCCATTCTCTTTGTTCATACTGACTTTAGTATCAATATTGATTGTTATTTTTCAGATGCTGTAGAGTCCATTTCAGTTCTAATAATTTTATATTCAATAAACCACAAAGTTATTGGCAACTCTACAAAAATTTGCTGGTTGTACTGGTTGATCAACATCAATTTAAAATTTTACAACTGTACCTTAACATTTTGGTACTAATTTTATTACCTTTTGTAGTTTATACAACTGATAGAATATAAATGGGGAGTAATGTTTTAGTCAGTTTAGAAATATTCTTTTATTGTAAACATTGATCATATTTGAAACTTATATATATATATATATATATATATATATATATATATATATATTTTTTAAATTTTTTTTTGACTTTAACCCTTTGGAAACGGTGCCTCATTTGGAGTTTGTGCCAAAAAGATGAATCCCTTCTCACAAAAAAAAAAAAAAAATCAGTATAAAGTCATATAACACAGCAAACTCTCATAGAAACTGCCATTGAAAGGGCCAGATGTGCAAGAAATTTGAAAAGTAATCTAATTGGCTGGTACAAAGACCAGCCAGCTAATCTCGAGGTTTGTGTTATCAGGCCAATGGATTGGCCCAGTTGTCTTATTCGTCATTTGACTTTTTGGTCAATAGATCAGCCATGTCATCTCCTAAGTGTTAAAAAGAAAGTCTCTATCTAATTTTATCATTTCGTTATTGTATATACTGCAAACACTATAAAAAAAATTCTCTAAAATCTTATATTGGATGGATCCCCACCATTATCCAACTTTGTTTTACAACTGTGTCAAGTATATCAACCAACACAAAAGAAATCAAGAAATGTAATAATAAGATTAAGTTTTGTTAAGAAGAAAGTATAACATTTTTCCATTCTCTATTTTAAACATTTTTGTTTCATGCCTTTCTCTTGCACATACTTGTCAAATATATTTCAGATACACATTTGTTGCCAGTGGTTGTACTTTCTATCCTTTTGTTCCTCCTCCAATTTCAAAGAGTATCAATTTACCCCTTGCATTTGAAAAGTTCCTGTGTGCAAAGCAAGAAGTTGTTTGCTATGTTGTCTCTTCATCAATACCACCCATCTCTCCCTGATTTCTTGTTCATATTGTCTGTTACTGCCTCCTCCTCTTTCCTACAATCACCTAACTCTTAATGACAAGTAATGCCAAGTTCAAGTTTCAAACATGGCCAATCATCAGAAGCTGCATTGAGTAATTTCCTGTGAAAATTGGAAATCTGCACTAAGAGCTTCTTGGTCTTGTTTGTGTCTTTTCTCAATGCAGCAAATAGAAAAAATAAATAAGTAAAGAGACCATTGTCAAGGAGAAAATGAGCAAATTTGTCCAGGCTTTAACTCCTGATATATACTGATGAACATAAAGAAATCTATTAGAAGAGTTAAAAATAGCAAAGAAGTTTTGTGTGACTTAAATCCTTTGATTAAAGTGATGTATATTTTTCGTAACATCTTATTTTCATGGTTCTGCTAAATTTTTTTGATAGGCTGTAATTAAAATAGGTTAGAATAAATAAAGGAGATCATTTTAAGAATGACTTTATTTGAATCATTTCTCTTTATGATGTGAAACTTTAATGAACTTATAATAACATATTCAATACTTTTTCCTATTTTTTTCTTTTACTGTTTTGTGATGTATAATTTACTGTTCACCTATTCAGTTTAATCCTTGTTTAATGAAACTATCCGCTTATGTATTTTGGCTATATCATTTAAATGAGATCATATTCCTTTTCTATTTTACAGTAAATTAATGTCATTAATATGAAATACAGTTATATCAAAAACTTGGTATGACTGTTTTGACTTTTTTGTATTTCACATTCTCTGCAATTGGTAGTTTTCAAAAGCAAATTTAAATTTTTCTTTTTTTTTTTTAAGTTGAGGCAGAAAACAATATTAACTTTATTAGGTTTAGATTAAAATCAAATAATAATAGATCTAAACTGATCTAATATGGTTATGTGTTATTCTTGTGATTGTTTAATTGGATAGTATTAAATTTCTTTGCATTAATGTGTGTGTGTCTGTACCTAGCACTTAACTACTGGTATTTGCTTGTAGAACTTTATAGATTAGAGAATTATAAAATGAAAATAAATTTAAATCAATGTCTTAAGTATAGATACATTTAGATGCTGAAATGTCTTTAAGCTGCTCCCCACAATCCAATATATTTGTGTGTTAGGTGAGAGGCATTCTAAAGTAGAATGTTAGGTGTTCTCTGATAGACTTGCCTCTCTTAACAAATTATATACACCATTCACCTTTTGTCTTGATTATATGTTTGGTTCTATTTAATTCTAATTTGAAACATTGTGAATAATGCTTGTAATGGTTTCCTTCAATGCACTTGGAGAAAGAATTCAGAAAGAAATAGAAGACATGAATGAAGGAGATACCTTTTTGGAGAAAGTTTCAATCATTTTAATATTAGTAAATATAAAGTTCATTATTTGAAGACCCTTTGTGTGAAATTGACAATAGTTAAAGCTTCTTGTTTTTCTCTTCTTTTTTTCTTGCTGTGAGAGAATTGGTGTAAATTTTGTATAGGAATGTCTTTAAGGATAAAAAAAACAAAACAAAACTCTTTTAACCACATTGAAGAAATTGATATACACACATTCATATGTATACAAAATAAATATTTCTTCTAAGTTATTATTAATGTCCAACAAACCATCTTAGCATAGTTGAAGATTACTGATTTAGATATTAGTAATAATGTCAGGAATTATAAATTAAGAATATTATTGAAGTAGGTTAATAGTATTTAGAAGCAAAGACGCCTTTTCATATAAAGAATACTTTTTCCCATCTTTTAAGTCATGTATAAAAGAATATAATATTTTAGTACATATTAAATCTATAAAATTTATAAACACGCTATTTCCCTATCTAAATTTTGTTTGAAGGACACTCTGAATTTAATTCTGTTAACTTCTATTGAGTTATCTTTGCTGATTCTGTATAAAAATTTTAATATCCTGTTTCTTTCAGACAACCTCATAATAGCCTGTCTAAATGACCAACTAAATAGATGTCTCTTTTCTTTGCTTATTGCCATAAAATATAGTTTTAGCTTGATTTATGAACACAGCTTTAAGCTTGACCAACTCTAATCAGAAGTTTTCTTGGCTAATTTCCTGTATTTGATAGTTTCTAAATGTGTTCCCAGTTCCTAAAAGACAAGATCCAAATTTTTTAAACACAAGATGGCTGTAATCTAGTTACAGTCATATTATAAATCTCATGCTTGTAAGATTTATATAGATAAAAAAGAAAGGAAGAAAATATGTTGTACACTTTATAAGGATAGGTTAATGATCAAGAAGTAAATTACTAAAAAGGAAATTCTTTGTTATTTAAAAAAAAAAATGCATTTAAACTTTTTATAAACTTCTTAATTTTAACTTTACCTATTTTGTACATATTGTTGACCTGCTTGCTAGTCAGTCTCTCAATTTAGTAGATTAGGTAGATTTTATGACATGTCAAACCTTGTTGTGTTATTTAATTTAAATTTTTTTATATGGAGCACTCAATGAGGATTGAATTCACTATTCATTAGTAATACTCATTCAGACAATCCATGCTAACTATTACTCTGTGCCAAGGCATCTTGCTTACTTTAGTACATTTATTAAACAGACCATGAAAAGAATTACAGCACTTTGAGTGGTTTACATTAATTTAAATTTTATATTTATTTGATTGTTGGATTGCCAGGGAACTTTCATGCTTAATGTGTTGCAAATAAATTATTTGTTCAAGAAGCAAAATTGCTCTAGATTTTCTTTATAGAAATATACCTTTAAAAAAAATCAGAAAATACTTTTAACAATAAATGTTTTCACCACATTTAATAGATTTTCAATTTGTAAAGGCTTGGTTCCAAGTTGGATTGACATTTTTCTATATGATTTATGTATACATTTAAAAGAAAAACAGCATCAACTTATCATTTTCAGATCATTTTGGCATTTCTTGACAGTGAAGAGAGGAAAAGAGTAGTTTTCTTTTATAATAGGTATTAAAGAAATAATGATGATGCACTTAAATTTAGTTTTAAGTTAGAAATAAAATTGTCCTCTGTCAGTATTCATTTGTGTGTCACCTATAAATTATAATGGTTATTCTTGTCTTCTTCATTTCAGAATCATAAAGTCAGTATGCCATTAAATGGAATAATTCCAATATCTTGATTGGCAACGTTTTTGTTTATTTAATGCTCAGTGTTTTACAATGAAGCTACTTTTCATAGGATAGTAAATTTGTTATTTTATACTTTATTTCTTTTTAAATGATAAATTATGAAACCACTTTTTTTCTTTCCTTTTTTTTTTTTTTTTTTTATCAAATTTTTCTTGAAGCTTCAAATGTTTTGGCTACGTATATAAATATAAAAACAACTGTCAAAAAACATTTTAAATGTGTGTATTCTTTTAGTTTATTATAATCACACTTTTAAGTTTTCTAAAAAAACTTGTAAGAATTTTTTATTTTGGAGATTACTCAGGAAATATTTTTGAATAACTTTTTTTTAAAGAATGTATCCATGAAGATAATAACTCCCATATCATGTTGTAACAGCAATGACTTATATCTTCATGATGGTTAGCTGTTTGTATGTTGAGTCCTTGTTAGATGATTTTAAATCACTTCAAGAATTCAAAGTATTTATCAATCTCTATTGCATAAAAATGGAAATACTCATCTATACAAAATTAATGGTAACATCGCATTGAAACATTGGTTCCCATTTGAACACCAAAATTAAGCAACATCAAGCTTGGTCTGTTCCTAGATGGGTGACCACTTAGGAATACTAGGTGTTGGATGTGTGGGTGGTATAATGGTTAATGGCTCAGAATTGTTAATCATAGAGCCGAGTTCCAATTTCAGTTAGGTTCATTATATTCACTTATGTGATGAATTCACTTCCTCTACCCTGCAGCCACAAGTTAATTAGTAAGTATTGTATCACTAAACTATTATTACCTAAAAAATAAATTCTTACAACCTAATAATGTTTTCTGGCTTTAAATAACCTGTGAAAAGTTGATAAGCCTTAAAAAAACAAATCAATCAATCAGTCTATACAAAATTGAGCAAGTGTGGCAATAAATAATTAATTACATATAGCATTCTTTTAATAAAGAATTAAATGAAAATATTTTGAAGTAATTTCTTTTCATTTATCTTTTGAGGAATTGTGGGTAGGTGAGGGGTTCAAGAATATTCCTTTACCCATTCAGGTTTTTCATTCACTAGTTACGATTTTTACCATTTACCTTTACCACTCATCTTTATTGATCTGCTCAATTTTTCCTGGCAAGCTGTTTTTGAAGACATTGATTTCAGCAAATGTCTTTCATTTCTGTTTCCAAGGAAGTAATGCATTTTTCTAATTCCTTTTGGAATGCTATAAACATGCTATAAAGAGAATGGCAGTTTCTTTTTTTGTTTTTCAGTTTTCTTTAGTTCTTTCGACTACCCTGTGAACTATATTGAAAGGACATGATCCCCATGCTGTGGCTTTCCTCTCACAAAGTTATATTTTTTCACCTACATAGGTACCAGAATAAAATAAGAGATTTCTTAACATTTCTTAACTGAAGGTCATGCTGTTCATCTTTCATACCTATCAAGATGGTGTTTAATTAAGCTTCTAGGAAATTTCTTTCTCCAAAGTCATGTAGAAATGAAATTACATTAAAGAATTTTCAAGTAAGACAAGGTGAAAAACTGAGGACATGAAATCAAAACAGAAAATAGTCATCTATCAAATAATTTGCTGAACATTAGTTTTAAAGCAGAAATTCTAAAGGAAGGGAAAACAAAAACAAAAACAAAAAAAAGCATAATTCCAAAAGAATAGAAAACAAAATTTCCTAAGTATGCTTTATATTATTTTTCATTAATAAAATCATGTCACTTAGATAAGACGCATATAATTTTAATGAATTGTTTTCCTTTAGACATGTACAAAAATGTTTGCCAGGAATATCATCATCTAATTATTTTTCTTTTAGAACTTAATGTAATTTTATGATGTAAATAATTTTGTTGATTTGTTATTGCTTTTCTTCTACTTAATCTTCATGCTTTTCAGAATTCCTATACCTTATTATTTTATTTTTTTATGTTTGTGTTTAAATGACTGAACTCTATAAAAACTAGTTTAATTGTAAAATTTGCTTTTATTTTTAGGCCTTGGAGTATAAAAGAATTTAGAAACTTTAATTCTTTTATCATTTTCATTTCACATGTTTAAAAAAGATATATATACCCAATTCTTTAATAAAAAATGTTTTGAATTAATGAAATTGCTTGCGATACTGTTATGCTTTAGAGATGTATGTCAAAATAAAGATGTCCTTTTAAGTAATTATGTTGAGGTATTTTATAATGTGTTAGACATTAGACATCACATATCAACAATATAGAATAGAGCATATCTAATCCAAGTATACTGAATTGGCATTGATATTTGAGATTCTGTGGGAACTGTTCATTGCCAAAAATATTTTTATCAAAATGTTGATTTTTCTATTTTTATATTGCTAAAAAAAATTACTTTTTAATTAATTTTTTTTTCATTATTTTGCATGATTTTTATGTTTAATTTTTCTATAAATAAAAGTTTAAAAATGCATTCTCTTTTGTTTACTTTGGTAAATTAATTTTTCAGCAAAATAAGTAAAATTCATTTAAATATTTTAACTAGTTACACTTTACACTATCAGTGAGCAGTTATAGATTTTATGACAGCATTGTAGAAAATACCATAACATTGAAATTTCTTTTACATTTTTGATGAGACTAAACTTTGGTTGGGGTTTAGTGTTTTTATGCTGAAGAGAAACAAGTTATAAAGAAGTTTTTACAAAAGCTTTTTTTTTTGTTTTGACAGTTGAAGTTATCTACTTAATTTCTCATTTAATTTTTCATAAACGTTTTTAAGCCATACTTATTTTGTCTCTCTCTTTTTTTTTTTTTTTTTTATTTCCAGGTAAGTGGTAATTCATACTGAACTTTGAAAAACTTTCTATTGCATTGAGTGAGTATACTAAAGATGGTATGTTCAAAGATAAATTTAATTATTGTAGCAGCAGCATTGTGATGAAATTCATGTTAGTGATATTAGTGGAGTAAACTGCATGAAGACAATCTGCTTTAATGATTATTATCTGATTACTGGCTAAAATATATTCAGTGAAAGGCAAGTTGACAATATGTGAAAAATGTTGGCTTATCAAAATCCTTGAAACAAACATTAAATAAAAAAAAATAGTTTTTTTTTGTCTGATACTTCAGCTACATAATTGATGTAAAGCAAAAAATGAAAAAAGAGGAAATAACCGGGTCAAATTTTTACAGGAAATCTGAAATAATTCTACCCATATTTTTTAGATATTTGTATATGTAGAGTAATTGGCCATGGTTAAGTGTAATTGACAAAATTCTCAACAAGTGAAATTGACAAAGTTTCTAACAAACAATAAGAAAAGAAAGAAAAAGAACAGGATAAAATAATACTAAGCAAACAATATAAGTTCAAATCAAAACTAAGCAAAGCAACTGTAGTAAGGCCAAAAGTTCACAAAGTAAAAGGGATACAGTCAAGTGGTTATAGCAGTTTGACTTTACAACAAGAAAGAACAAAAATATAGTCTGAGAATTGTCCACTTTATTGTTTAGTAAGAAATCCCAGCATGCATCTGTAGGATTTGCCTATAAATGTGGGGAGGGTGATGTTCTTAGCAGTCATTCTCATTGGATTGGAACCAGCAGTATACATCTTAACAAGTTCTATGTTTATTGAATGGGTCATGGAGATTTTGTTAGATATTTATTTACTTTTTCATTCAGTGTTTATATCTACATAAATGTCATACTAAGATAACTGAGCCTATGTTTTGGCTTTCAGTGGATACAATATTTTATTTTTTAATAACTAGCTTTGATTGATTGAATTTATAATAGCAGAATTATTATATCTTGTAGAAAGTCTTTTGTATGAAATTCTTGTCTGAAAGGTTTTACTGACATTATTTTTACTATATGTTATTTGAAGATAAACCTTTAGTGGAAATTTGTCAGCAAACTAGCATTTTGAGGCTGAGTAAAACAAACATAAAAAAAATCCAGCTGTATATTTTTATTGCATACTTTCAATAAATTAGTTATACCTCTCATATCTTTCATATAATCTGTATTGAAAAAAGTTAGTTTTAGACAGGAATCTGAAATAAATGGGATTTCTTATAAATTAGGCTATTAACCAGCTTTACTAATGCTCACAAAAATGTTTAATAGTGCATATTCACAATTAAGGTAAGTTAAAATGATTTTTCTTCTGTCTAATATAAATGTGAATTACAGAAAAGGAAAAATAAGTATTCAATACATACCACACACACGCACACACACATAGATATTATTTCTCAAAATTACACTATATATAGGTTTCTTTAAGATAGTAAATATGTGTAAAAATTTCAACAAATACATTTATAAAAAAAATGAGTGAAAAAGTATTCAGTACCCAACAAAATGCAACGTCAGTGACTAATACTTTGTGGAATAGCCTTTGTTTGCAATGATAATTGTCAAAAAGTGAATATTATATTTTAACATTATTCCTCTTGTATTTTGAACCCCTCTTCATTATATTCAGATTATGAGACTGACAAGATTGGTCACAAAGTTTCAGTTGGGCTCAGTTCAGGGATCAACTAGGTCACTTAACAGTTGAGTTTCTTATTTCCAGACAAGTGTTTCGTTGTATGTTTAGTATCATTATCTTGCTGAAACTGCCAGTTATGCTTTTCAAATCTTGTGGACTGGTGTTACAAACTCACAAAGAACTGTACCAAATAAGAGGAACTACATCATTTAAGGACTTACAACATCTAAAATGGATATCATATGTAACTTTAAAAGTAAAAAAATGACATAATCATAATGTTTACATTCCACATTACTTTCAAAGAAATAGTTAGGATGGAAACTCCCATCAATACTGGAAAGAGTGATAACAACTGGACTTGAGAAACCTATTTTCCTGAAATATTGAATGATTTTATAAATTTCAACTGACAGTAGTACAAACTTCTTGGTCAATGAATGCTGAATGTTTCCTTATGAGGAAATGGCTAATATTACCATTCAAAGCCTTGACTGATGTAAGATTATTCTTCAATATATCCTTCTTCTTTTGATTATATGAAGTTGTCCTGTACCATTTGATGAAAAAAAGCCCCCTGCTATTAACCCTACTATTATATTACCACATCCATGCAGTTGGAACGGTGTTTTTGATTTGAATTCTTCATTCTTCTTCCAACATTGATGATGTAAATTGGGGCCAAATGATTCTGTTTTATTCTCATTAGATGAAATAATATTATTCAAGTATGTATCTGGTTTGTATATAAATGCTCCTTATCAAACTTCAGACATGCCTCCACATGTGATCTATTCAGAAATGGTACTTTTTGTGCTCTACAAGATTGACAACCATACTGGTGGAGTGTGTTACTGACAGCTTCAGGTGTAACCCTTGTCCTTGATGCTTGGGGATGTATCAATTCTTTGCAACTAATCCTTGGTGGTTGCTTATTTATCATTCTGACAATGCTGCTTGCTGCATGGCTGAAAAACTTTTCAAGGTATACTAGATTATGTACAATTTCCTGTCAAGGCACATTCCTTCCTACAGTTGTAGTTCATTACCAATGGCTTTCTAATCTTTACCTCTAGGATAAAGATTAACTATGGTATCTCTGAGGTCTATGGAATGTGCCTTCCTTTTTGGCATTATGGTTGCTACTG